AGGAGTCTTCCACTGATTTTAGTGATTGGGACCAACTCTGCACTGATTGGGAGAAATTTTCCGGTGATTTTGGTGAAGGGGCTGAAGTTTCTACTGATTTTGAGGTGAGGCGCCAAATCCCAATTGACTCTGATTTTGATATGCTGCCCCAATTGCAGAACAGCGATCCAATTGGTTCCAGTTACGAAAATCCCCTCCTTACGGGGTATGAATTTCCACAAATTCCTTTGGAAACAGACATTGCCATGGATGATCCCATGGCAGAACTTTTGCAGTTTGGAGATTTTCTGAGTGGGGATGTTGGAAATTCAGACTTTTCCATTCCTCTTATGGCTGGATTTTGATTTATTATTTGGGCAACATAGAATTGAACCATTGTAGCTGCAGGGGAATTTTCCTGTTTCGTGCACCCCTTCTTTTTGGTTTATCCCCATGAAGATTAATCCCATGTTCAAGATTAATCAAGAGGGATCTTTATACTTAATTAGATTTTTATTTTTCTCTTGTGGTAGTTCTTGTATTATTTGAGTAAATTGAGTCTTCTTCCTCTTTTGGTGTATTTACCGAAAGGATTGATATCTTGTTTTAATGTGAATTTGTATTTCCTTCAAATGAAAACTGTTAATGTTTCTTTACTGGTGTTGTCTTTTCTTTCTATCAAATTGCCTTTTCCCTCAATGTTTTATTTTATCCCTTTTAGTTGGTCCAAGTCTTGATGAAATTCCTATATGTGGGAGTTAGACTTTGGTTTTACGAAATATGCAATCAAGTCATGGGGGAAAAAATACTAATTTAGACTGTCTTTTGAACATAATTTGCCATGACTATATTCACAGTTCCCATGATTATGCCATTTTTCATTTAAATCCAGGTTTTGTCCGGTTTCACTGGTTTCCGGTCAAATCTGGCTTTTAAAAGGCAGTCTTTTAAGATGATTTGGACTGGATGCCTAGCCGGTTCCCAGTCGGACTAGCCGGTCTAGTTTGAATTTTAAAACATAGATATAAATTGCAAGCATGAGCAATTCAATCACAATCAATGAATAGATTGCAAAATGTTTAAGAAAAACTATTGAATAGCATGATTTGTGGAACTGCTAACAGATTGCAATAATTAGTTATTCACTTTGCTATTTTTTAAGCAATAGATAAGTAAAAATACTTGTTATGATTATGATTCCAGGATCTTATCTCTAGCAGATCTTTTTCCAGAGTTTTTCTCTAATTTTGTTTTCTTTATGCTATATAAAAGCATGGCTTATAACTCAATAAAATGTGACTTCTGCAATACAAAAGTTTTCATTCTTGTTCTACTTTCTCTACTCTAATAATCTAACAGAGTGGCACTAGAGCTTTCATCTTGAGGGATCTATGAGGATTGAGAGAGTTTAAACACCTTCTTTAAAACATTTACCCTTATTACAATGAATCCAGAGGTTTCCTCTACTCATCAACTTGGACCTCCCATATACGATGGAACAAATTATCAAATGTAGGCTGTCAGAATGGAAGCCTATCTTGGTAGAAATGATTTGTGGGAGCCTATAGAAGATGATTATGAAGTACTTCCTCTTCTAAACAATCCAACAATTGCTCAAATGAAACACCATAATGAGAGGAGACAAAGGAAATCGAAAGTCAAAGCAAGTCTACATGCAATTGTTACATCCACAATCTTTTCAAGAATCATGACATTGAAAACGGCGCATGAGATCTGGAATTTCTTGAAGAATGAATATGAAGGAGATGAAAAAATCAAAGGGATGCGAGTGTTGAACTTGATTCGAGAATTTGAGATGCAGAAGATGAAAGGATCAGAAACTATCAAAGACTATTCTGATAGACTCCTTGACATAGTCAATAAAGTAAGACTTCTTGGTACTAATTTTTTTGATTCTAGAATAGTTCAAAAAATTCTAGTTACAATCCCTGAAAAGTTTGAGGCTACAACCATGGCCTTGGAAAACTCAAAAGATCTGTCATGTATCATCTTGGCAGAATTGTTAAATGCACTACAGGCACAAGAACAAAGAAGGCTGATGAGGCAAGAAGAATCAGTGGAAGGTGCCTTTCAAGCCATATCACAAAACAACAACAGGGGCAAGAACATGAAGAACAACAAAAAAAGTGTCTGGAAACAACAAATCTCAAGTATTTCCACTTTGCCCTTATTGTAAAAAAACCAATCATCCACAAAAAAGGTGTTGGTGGAACCCAGATGTAAGATGTCACAAATGTGGTCAGTTAGGGCATGTGGAAAAGATATGCAAGTCTCAACAGCAACAAGGAGAAGCCAAGGCTGCGGAGAATTAACCGCAAGAGGAGCAATTGTTTGCAGATTCATGTTTCGCCACTAATAGCTCTGTGGAAAGCTGGCTTATAGACAGTGGTTCTACAAAACACATGACTTATGATCAAGAGCTTTTCAAAAAGCTTGATAAAACTGCTATTACTAGAGTCTGGATTGGAAATGGAGATAATCTTGCTATAAAAGGCATAGGACACGGGCAATTGAAGGGTACACAGGTTTGAAATTAATTTCTGATGTTTTATATGTTCAGAAATTGATCAAAACCTTTTGAGTATTCCTCAATTATTGGAAAAAGATTATATATGTATGTGTGCGCGTGCGTGGGGGCTTACATTGGGTTAAGCTTAATTTTTCTTAAACTCAATCCATTTTAACTTTGTTGCATATTTTAAAAACCCACACTCAATCTAACCTATACCAGCAAGTAATATATTTTTTATAACCATGATAGAATATTTGCATTGTCATTTTGTAAGAGATTTTCTATTTATTTTGCGCTGTGTGATTTATTGAGTTCCATCCCTTGGTTGTTTATACCTTTATCTCTTGCATTAGTACTTTATCATCATATCTATTGTTTAGACAATTTAATTTCGTTACATTAAAGAAAAGTAAACTTTTATATATAAAATTATGGAATTTGCAAAACCACCAACCAAATAAAATTACAAAGGTAAAATCATCAAGACTTTTTGGGTTAAAATTTCTTAACTAAAAAAATGCTTAAAATAAGTTCAAACTATTTTAAATAAGTTCATTGCCAATTCTCCCATAGGGAAGAAATAAATAAATAAATAAACAAATATTAGTTTACAAACAGTCTTGGGACAATATTTTACATAACATACCGCTTTCTAATTCCTACTTTCCAAATTCTTATTCTTTCCGAAGTGTAGTACTTAAACTCAACTGGCCGTTGCTTCAATTCTCGTCCGTAAAACTCATGCCTGCTTCAATTCTCGTATGCAACCATGGAGAAGAAGGCACTGAAGAGTTCGAAGTCTAAGCAATCCCTGAATTCTAAGGTATCCTTCAAAGTCTGCAAGAACAGGGTTGCTGGAATCAAGAAGAAGGCAATGGAGCTCGCATTGCTGTGTGATATACCAGTTTGTGTGGTGATCATTGAGCCTAGTGGCAAAATCCAAACCTGGCCTGAGAATCACAATGATGTTCAATCTGTTATTGACAAGTATTCTGAAAAAGAACAAGCTCGATCACTGTCAGCCAAGAACAGAGAGCACCCTCTGGAGAAGTCGACAGATGGAGAAATTGATCCTGTCGAGTTGGTTAAGATATTGGACAGTAAAATTGAAGCAATCAAGAACAAGATTGAGGAAAGGATGGTCAAGAATGGTGCAGCGGCAATAAATGTTGCTGAAACTGATAAGATGGATAATGCTGTTGATCTTTTCGACTTTGATCAGTATGAAATTGACAATGCTGCAGAGTATCTTGATGCGATTGATTTTCTCGATCAAGAAGAAACTGAAAACCCTGGAAAGGTTCTTGATTTTGTTGATCTTGACCCTGATCAGGATGAAAAAACTTCTACTGCAGAGTATCTTGATGCTATTGATTTTCTCGATCACGAAGAAACTGAAAACCCTGGAAAGGTTCTGGATTTTGTTGATCTTGACCCTGATAAGGATGAAAAAACTTGTACTTTGATTCAGTCGCCTCATCAGGAGGAAATTTCGCAATTTCTTGGAAGTGGGTTTTCTTATTGGGACGAATCTTCCACTGATTTTAGTGATTGGGACCAACTCTGCACTGATTGGGAGAAATTTTCCGGTGATTCTGGTGAAGGGGCTGAAGTTTCTACTGATTTTGAGGTGAGGCGCCAAATCCCAATTGACTCTGATTTTGATATGCTGCCCCAATTGCAGAACAGCGATCCAATTGGTTCCAGTTATGAAAACCCCCTCTTTACAGGGTATGAATTTCCACAAATTCCTTTGGAAACAGACATTGCCATGGATGATCCCATGACAGAACTTTTGCAATTTGGAGATTTTCTGAGTGGGGATGTTGGAAATTCAGACTTTTCCATTCCTCTTACGGCTGGATTTTGATTTATTTGGGCAACATAGAATTGAACCATTGTAGCTGCAGGGGAATTTTCCTGTTTCGTGCACCCCTTCTTTTTGGTTTATCCCCATGAAGATTAATCCCATGTTCAAGATTAATCAAGAGGGATCTTTATTATTAATTAGATTTTTATTTTTCTCTTGTAGTAGTTCTTGTATTATTTGAGTAAATTGAGTCTTCTTCCTCTTTTGGTGTATTTACCGAAAGGATTGATATCTTGTTTTAATGTGAATTTGTATTCCTTCAAATGAAAACTGTTAATGTTTCTTTACTGGTGTTGGCCTTTCCTTTTCTCTCAATGTTTTTTTTTTTCTTTATTTTATCCCTTTTAGTTGGTCCAAGTCTTGATGAAATTCGTACATGTGGGAGTTTTTACGAAATATGCAATCAAGTCACGGGGAAAAAAAAATACTAATTTTGATATAAATCCAGGTTTTGTCCGATTTCACTGGTTTCCGGTCAAATCTAGCTTTTAAAAGACAGTCTTTTAAGATGATTTGGACCGGATGCCTAGCTGGATCCAGTCGGACCAGCCGGGTCAGTTCGAATTTTAAAACATAGATATAAATTGCAAGCATGAGCAATTCAATCACAATCAATGAATAAATTGCAAAATGTTTAAGAAAAATCAATAATGAAGTTACATCTTTTCTGTTCTGTGCAAAAATGAATTGAAAAGAATGAACAAATGAAGTCATGATACATGATTTCTCTCTAGACGTGGCTGGCTATACACTCCTTTAGTTTTACTGATGCAAAATTGTGCTTGACCTCCTTTCTTCAAGGAAAAATATACAGTTGAACAGGTTAGGAAGGATGGTTCGTATCCTGTTACGCAGGACCTGCATGCATCACAGAAGCTTATCAGACAGGACACTCCTTCACAGAAGCTTCCTGAAATCATCAATTCCATCACTTTGCTTTTGATTAGTCAATTTCCTAAAATATATACAAAGCTAAACTGTGGTCAGTGAGATGACAATGTTTTGAAAGTGATTCCAACATTCATATTATCAGGTTTTATGACAATTATCATCCAGCAGAAGCTTACAAACAGAAAGCATACGGGAAAGCAAAGTTTGGGTGGTAAGAGGAGTAGTGTTGGTTAGTTATGGAAGTGTAGAACTTAAGTTTTCGCCAGCTGACATTTCAGCGGAAAATGATGTTCATTAGCAATATCTAAGAGAGATTGTAAGCTCCTAACACCAGATTAAGAAAGCAACTAACCGCAAAAAGTGAAGGTGAAGGAAAAGAAGCAGATGGCTGAAGAAAACCTGTATAGTCCAGCTGTTTGGTTGAGACGATCAATTGTCTATATGAAGATGTCATGGACAAAAATATGTTCAAAGTCACTGACTACTTCAGAAGCTTCCAAGCATTTATCCTCAATAATTCACCTGGAGAACTCTAGAGAATATTTCCTTTCTATTAGTCTACATTGTTCAAGAAGAATTCCTCACTGTCATACTTGTTGCAACTTGGCTTAGGCTTAGAATGTTCTATAAACATTACAAAAGCCTAAGTCATTCTTAATGAAGGTTGTGACTGTTATTTATGTCCTTTATTTTGGGCCTACCCACTTCAGAAAAACCAATAAAATATGGGAGAAGTATTAAATGCTTGGTGATGGCAATGCTATAGGTCATGTGAAGTTGTTCTTTTATTTAGATTAAAACTGCTTCGACTGGACACTGAATCACATTTTCAGCTGAACTAGAATAACAAGACAAAATTGTTGTAGCAGTTGCCATAATTTTATGTTATCCTGTCAACCATTTAATCTTTGGGTGACGTGGTGATCAGTGAAGTTAAGGCAGCCAAACTTACTCTGTTAGCTCACTCTGAGGATGCATCTTTGAAGCCAGGAAGCAGCTGAAAGAGTATTTCGTTCCATATATCAGGTACTCCTGGTAGACACCAGTGGCTGCAGTCCGACATATTTGGTTTGTCGCTCCATATACCCACATGTGCATCTCTCCTAAAAGCTGACAAGGGAGTTATGTGCAGAACAGTTACTGGAACTGCCATGTTTTTCACCACATCAAATACGGTGTCCGAAAATGGGCTACTGTCTTTCCCTTCGGTTTCTGAAAGAGGTTGACTCGTCATATTGCATAAGCGCAGAGTTTCGTCACCACTACAGATAAAGGCAGCTTGATAAGTCATCCCAAAGCGAAACATTGCAACTCAAGGTGAGTTATTCAATTCATAAGAATGAACAACTATAGAAAAATTAAATGCAACAAATGATGGGCAAAGACTAATTTAAATTAGACAGTGCAACTTGTGAACATGGCGTCTACAAGAATAGCCATTTTATGTAAAGACTATGAAAGCTCAATATCCTTTCGAACAGAAAACTACTTATACTCAGAAGTTGGACATCAAAAATTATACCGAGTTAGAGCAAAGCTTGGCTCAGAAATGCTAAGCTATGCAGGGAATGGCCATTTAATTGAGTTCTTATTTGGTATTCCATCAGGAGAGAAACACTTAGCAATAGAGTCAAAAGCAATACAGGTGACAGCCAAGAACAATATTTTTTCAGTTCTAATAATTATTGATACATACCTCCAGTGAGATGGTTCAAAAGTTCGAAAAAAGACGCGTGTCCTGTTTGGGTTAATCATTGTATCAACCCAAGAAGACCATGTACCCAAAGCTGTTCTGAAGGCAGTGCCAATTGACATCCCTAGCTTCAATGAGTTACCAATTTGGAAATAGCAACCCCTGCCACCAAAATAGGAATTACAAGTTCAATGAGCATACAGAGGGAGAGTTTCCCTTGCCCCGGGTTTTGTTTTCATTGGAAGAGGGGGGGGGGGGTGTAGGTTTTAGAAGCAGATAACTTTTTATCTTAATTAATTGCAGGTGATCACATTTAAACAGTTTGCTTCCTTGTCCTTAATTTTTAGTACATCTTTACAGGGACCATTTGGATTGAAGGAAAGGGAAGGACAGGAAAGAAGAAGACTCCAGTGGAAAAGAAAGGAAAAGAGGGTAAAGGAAAGCGGATTCCATCCATCTTATTTGGACTAAGTACGAAAGGAAAAGAAAGGAAACATTGAAAATATTGTTTGGATTAGGGAAGGAAAAGAAAGGAAATGAAATTATCACGCATTAGTTACATTTTTATCCATAATTTAAAAGTCTGCCCTGTAAACACACAAGGTTTTTTAGGAAATTTTAAAATTTTCATTAATTTTGGTTTCCTTTCCTTCCGTTTCTGCACTCTTTTGGACAGAAAGCATGTTGACAAAAGATAACTAGATGTTATCCCTCCCTTTCCCTCCCTATCCTTTCCTTTCCCTCCTCAAAAACCAATCCAAACATCAAAGACCTTATCCCTCCAAATACTTTTCTTTCCTTTCCCTCCTATTCCCTCAAAACAAATGGTGCCGACAGAGACGCTGGCTTGTTTCCTTGGTATGCTACTTCATTGTATGAGAATGCTGAAGCCAAAAGCATGGTCTTGGTTGTAACTTGTTAATGCACTATGGTGAAACTGTGATCTTGTTTCTAGTTTAAGATGACAGTAGATAGCAAATTCTCTAATCATCAGACCACTACAAAATAGCACCGCAGCTACTTGTCAACTTCTCTCCTTATTTAAATTATGAATCATAAATTAACAACCACCATATACCATAAAGATCGATCTACATCCTTACTTAGGATGCATGAAACAACCTCAGACAATGTAGAAATCCAAGGGTCAAGGAAAATAAGTTCAAGCATAACAAGAAGAGAAGGAAACAGAAGGAAAATTTGCATTTTCATCTTTTTAGGTTTACATGATGTCCTAATTTTGTTTGTCACTTTCAAAATTCATCTCATTTTTAATCTTTTCATATGGGAACATCTACTGTCAACTGGTAGAGAATCAGAGCACTTCCTAAGTCTATAAACTAGAAAAGTTGAAGCCATTTACTGCCTCCATGTGCAAAGTGAATATAAGTTGACGCCAATTTGATGGCAAAGTAAATAAAAGCATATGCAAAACTATTAGTTCCAGAGAAGAGCAACATTTACTGCCTCCATACATTATTGGCAAAAAAGTGTAGATTCACCCCTTCAAAGACTCACATTATCATTCCTTATCTCAAAATGTAGAACTTAAAGCAGGGAATTTCCAAGCTTGCTTATCATATTGATAAGGCATAGTGATAGCCCTAGTAAATTATAACCTCCAGAGAGGATGATCTTAGAGATATTGCACTTTATGAGGGAACAAGGTAAAAGACAAAAGACACCCAGAATTGAGGAATTCAGGTTTATAGGACCTTAGATTTGACAAGGACAATTAAAGGAAGCATTGGTAGTTCCAGCTATTAAAAGTTTTAGTAAGATATACCATGGCAGATCCACCACGAGATGAGGAACATGGAAGCAAACAGAAATGGTCAAATAAACAAGGAAGGGGATACATCTAAAATTCAAACATAGGTCGTGATTTTCAAGGAACAGCACTTGTTCAGACAGGTGTCTGCCTGCAAGGAAACTCATGCCGAATACATAACATTACTGAAAGTACTCATTAATGATCAAAGAAACAGGCAAAGTGCAAGAGAATTAGAATTTATCTTATCCAAAAGGAGAAACTGAACTTACGTTCCAAAGAGCTTCCCAGGAACCCACCATTGTCCGGAATTAAATATCAGAACATCTGTATTAATCCACTCATCACTGATATCATCCAACTCGTCCAATTTAAGAGTGGATCTAACCCTTTTAGGTCCACGCTTAGGTGCCCAACTGTGTTGCACTAGGAACACAGATCGATAGAATTCAATAGTAAAATTAAAGGAACTGAATCTCACACCCAAAAATCTAATCTGTTTCGTGATCTTGCTGCCATTGACTTCATAAACACTCCTCTTATCTTCCACCCCAGTCATCAACATACATATCAAGGACTCCCATTGTGTTCTACTCATTGAATCACCAACAAAAACAATTCTTCTGTTGCGAAACATTTCCAGGATACTCATCACATTAAATCTTGGAATATCACAATTCTTCGGCTTCCATCTCCACTTAAGATACTCTTTATCCATCCTACCATTTTCCAAGCAATTAAAACCTTGCTCTACAAAAGGGCATTCTGAGGCATTGTACAAGGGATACCTATAATCCAACACCCAATTTCCATCAAACACATCACAAGAGTTACCTGAATCATTTAAATGTGAGACACTATCATCGTGAAAAGCCTGTGTAAGGCTTGGAAGAACATAAAGATACCGCAAACCAACGGCCAAGAAAAAGGAAACAACTAATCCTATCACTACACCTATAAGAACTGGTCCGGAATTCCAGCTCTTTCGTGTGATTCTTGGGCTAGCAACAGCTCGGGGGCTGCCAACAATCTGGGTTCTTTGTTTCAACGAAGCTGTTCGACTCAAACTGCTCATCCTCTCAATCGTCCTCAGCACCACCACCCCAGTTCACAAGATCCAGTTCCAAAAACATTTTGACTATTATCACTTGTTCCTAATACAATTGTATAATACTCAAAATTCTATAGGAAAACTCAAGCCCATCAACAAGATCATTTAAAAAAAAAACACCAATTCAATCACTATTATACCGAATTGATTCCCTTTAATTCAACAAAGGCTGGAGCATCAATCAAGGATAAAGTCCCAATTTCCAGTAACAAAGAATACAACAGATTTTAGAAGCTTGAATCAGAACTACATCAACATCAGAACCCAGCATAGGTAATGATCAAGGGACCAAAAGGGTGTCCAAATCTTGTCAAGAAATGCAAACCGGATGCAAATGCCACTACCCTTTTGGAATCCTGAATGAATCCAATAAATCCAACTGTAAAATTATCAAGAAAGGAACTTTATCAGTTATTCATCAACTTTCAATGAAGGAAATGACAAGGTGATTTACCAAATCTTGGAGCTGAGGCAGGTTTTACTGTGTCTGAGGCTATTAATGTTAATAAAAATGGGAACGATTTGAATGTGGTAGAATTGTTAAAGGGATGCCCAGAAAGGAAAGATGGAGGCAGCAATAGAAATTGAATTCTGGAATTGGACGGAAGTAATCGGCCAAAAGTCAAAGATTTGGTGGTGGTGGCCGATGTTGTGGTTAAATAATTTGTTGATGGCCCCACCAATATTTTCGTTTTTAATTTTCTTTCATCTATCAAAGGGTTAATTATAGTTTACCCCAAGGGAAGTTTGAAATAGGTGCAATTTGCCCCATGGAATATAATCAATAGGTACTTTTGGCCCTTTTAATTGCAAAAGCTTTTTCAATTTATCAATATAATATTTGGAGCATTTTACCTCTATATTGCATTTAACCATCTTCAATTTGATTCTAGGATCATATTGCCCTCTATTTTTCTTCCTTTAGGAGACATAATTGATATATCTTATATACTTAAGGTACAAAAGTAAGTTGTTCTTTTTTAAGGAAATGTCATCTTGATGAGAAATTATACACCACTCTAGGTTTTCATTCTTAATGAAAATGTATTAGCGAATAATAATCCAAAATACTATATTGGTTAACACAATAATGGTTTTATCTAATACATATTCCTTGTACATCAGATCATGTTTGGTTAATTAATGGCATTACTTTTGTGGATTATCTTTTTATACCTACTATCAATATAAAAATGTTATTATACAAGCTAAATTAGATGCATGTCACAAAATTTTTATTCAAATTTGAGATTCACTTTTTGCGCATCTATAATAACAATGACAATGTTTAAAAAATTAATCCCCACTTTGACAATGCATAAAGGATTAATCCCTACTTTACATGTGTAAATGCAATAGCTTGTACCCTCAAAATCTGATTGCTAGTAGTAATGAACTATGACTTTAAATATTTGACAACAAAAATGAGAATTGAAAATTTACACAAAAGAAAGCAAAAAACTAAAGCAAAAAAGAAGGAGGGAAAAAATTGTAAAAAGAAACAAGAAGAATCCATATCCACAATAGTTTTGGACTTTTATTGAATAAATTATACAACTCAAATTAATAGGAATTGCATGCTAATACAAAAGACTATAAAGTTTGAAAAGTAATAGCGTTTGAGTGTTGAAAGCTTATTAGTCATTTACTAGCAAAAGTCTAAATGTGTTAGTAGATAGAATTTTTGACCAATGTTCTGATGGCAAAGTGCCTATTGACTAGATTCCGGGGAGCACGGGTAACTTAACCGTATTAGATGGACGTCTAATAATCTAGCAAGTTGGCAATCTAACTTTTTTTTTAATTTAAATATGTATACGGGTTTTTGAAACTGTTAATATGATATTATGTAGGAAAATTGAGAAAAGTTGAACTTAACCACATAAAATCATTAGATTCGTTTTTGGATTTGTATTTTTGGTTTACGTGGATCACTTTGTGAAACTAAGGGGCATTTTGTAACACTAATGTCTAAAGTTTGAAATTGCAAAAAGAAAAAATTTAAATAATAAAGTTGGAATCCGCTGAATTCATAAAAGTCAAATCTATTAAATAATCTATCGAATTTGAGCTTGAAATTGAAATATTCTACTTTATGTACATTATGTAGTTAGATACCTATATATCAATTTATTAGTTTACAAAATTAATCTTTTAAATATTACCTTTTAATATCGATAGACGACATACCACAATGACAAAGCAATTTCTTATGTGCAAGAGAGAGTACGCGTTTATGTGTGAACATGTGTGTTTTTAGAAATGAAAGATGTATATTTTTGGGTCTACAATAAATCAAAGATTTAGAAAGGTGCATTGGCAAAGAAAATGTGTATGTTTGTGAGAGTAAAAGAGATAGTGTGTGAGGATCTGATCATTGAGTGGGAGAGAAAGAAGAAGAGAGAATATGTATGTATGCCAAAGCATGTGCGCGAGATAGAGAAGTTATGTGTGTGTGAGCTAATTTGAGCTCAAGGTCTTGCGTAGAATATGATGAATGCAATTCTCTACTACTTGCTACACTTGTGGATAGGCAGTCGGCTCCAAGATGTTAAAAATTCTTTTAAAAATTTAAAGTTTTCACTTATTCTTATAGAGATTAGATTTTGTCCCAAAAGATTTTAAAAATCCTTTTTTATCATCTTCAAATATTAAAACTTTTTCATTTACACCCTTTTTAAGTAGAATTCTACTAGTTCCACAGGACCCCCCCCCCCCCCCCAAAAAAAACAAAAAAAAAGCCTTTTTGCATCTAATAAAGCATGTAGTTCAGCTTATTTGCCCCCATAGTTACAAAATTGATAAAAGAAAAAAAAGGGCAGCATGATAATGTCTCATTAGGCTTTTTTGAAGAGTTGTTTTGTTCTACTCCATCATCATATGTACTGTACAATTTAATGTCGATTTATCGTTAGGACACTAAAACTTATTAACATTCTCCACAAATATTTGTATGTATATTTCAATCCTGGAAATGCTACGAGTACACATCCTCTTGAATAGACAATGTTATCTTTCACATAAAGACCTTGAGTTATTTCTTGAGGACAAGAGATGTTAAACTATGAGATTTAGGGGAGTTGAATCTTTAAGTTGATACGACTATTAATAAGGCTAATTTCCTAAAGTTGTTGCCTGAAAAAACTAAAGAAATTCAAAAATGGAAGAAGGGTTGGAAAATTAGAAAGAAAGAGATGTAGATTAGAATCTAACGAAGCGGAATAAATAGTGTTATTTACATGATTAAGAATTTCAACTTTCTCCCTAAGCACATATACACAAATTCAAGGCACATCAAAATTTTCAAAAGGATGTATTTTTGAATGAATGTAAGCTCATTATTTTGTTATTTCACTTTAATTTTTAAGGAAAATAGCAAACAATGTGTATTTGCAAAAAAAAAAAAAGAAGAAGAAAAAAAAGGAAATTTGGCCCAAATTTCTCCAAAGTCAGCCGGTAAAACAACGGCATTCCACAATTGTAAATTCATCTTGTGTGTTAAACAATTTGTAATTTTATCATGTTGGTCAATGAAGTTATTGATTTCCAATTACTGATATTCGATATCCAAGAATATGTGAAAATTAAACTAACCAGAATTACTATTATTGTTGTTTTACTGCTTCTGAATATTTGGTGGAAATAACAAGAAGGGATGTTACTTGAGTGTAGGATTTTGTTTGAGAAAGTGAGTCAAGAATGATTAAATGAGAATATGTGCAAACTGAGACGTTTATAAAAGCTCAATTCCCAATGATAACCCAAATAATCTTTTCCTTAAAATCTTTTTTCCTCATTCTTGCTGGTTTTCTCGCGAAATACAATATAGAGTGATGAAAATATCAGCTTAAAAAAACACATTTTAAAAAAATTAATCTACGTGATAAAAGTATAACGTCATAAAAGAGTTCACATTCAACAAATGTGACATTGAATTTGGAATTTTATGTAAGGGGTGGAGTTACATTCAATTCTTTTTTTAAAAAATTAATCTAGAGTTCACATTCAACAAATGTGACATTGAATTTGGAATTTTATGTAAGGGGTTGAGTTACATTCAATTCTTTTTTAAAAAATTAATCTACGTGATAAAAATGTATGCGTCATAAAAGAGTTCACATTCAGCAAATGCGACATTGAATTTGGAATTTTATGTAAGGGGTGGAGTTACATTCAATTCCTAAGAGACAAAAAAGTTACAGTGCTATATGACATTGATTCAACTTTTATCCTTTTCTAATTTCCAAAAAAAGTCGTATATGATGTACTGGTTTACATATGTGTTGAAATTGAATCTCTACCAATTTTATTTTTTTTTTAAATAAGCATTACCCCCTCAATCAGGGTAATATTGTCATAGTTTACTTTGTCCATGCAACTTGCTGAGCTTTGGAAATTTCACCAACATGTCTTTTTATTTACTTATGTTTAATTTGTCTCCAAAATCTAAAATTTACAATAGAAACTAAAACAAATTTATGTTTCTAGTCCAAATATTGAAACTATTGAACGACAACCATGAAATTTGAGTATACATAATGAAAAAGAAAACCACTAAGAGTCACTTTTCCGTTTTAAATAAAAGTTGAAAAAAATATGAAAAAAGGGAGTTGTTTCAACAGAAGTAATCAATGTTCAACTATCAATAAAACTTGAAAACTGATAATTTTGTAGTCTAGATAAGCTTGAAAACTTGAAAGCTGATAATTTTATGTTGAAAAGGGGGAAACAAAAGAAAAGATGCAGATCATAAATCAGAAAATGATTTAAAGGAAGTGAACACAGAAGTTCAATTAACATCAAAGAAACACCTTGTCTACCATATTTCAATTTGTCTTTAGCTAAATAATCATGTTTAAGCAACTAAACGTTTGACTTAATCCTCAGAGAAGGAATGTAAAGCTGGAGGACTAGTACACCAGTTCCTTGCTGCTTTTGAAATGTAATGCACTCAGGGGAGGAAGAAAGAAAGACAAAATGTTTACCAAAAAAAAAAAAAAAAAACTGCTGCTTCTGTCTCTCAACATGCAATTGATTCAAACGACTAATATTGGTTATGCAATAATAGATTTTGAAATTATGATAATTTGAAAATGTCCTAATTTTTGCCCCAAAAAGAAAAATGTACGACATAGTAATTTGTTATAATCAAATTGTTAACAGATATGTTTAACTTTCCACTCTGTGGAAGTAAATTCACTGCTTCTTGCAACATATGAAGTCAAAGTATTGATGGAGTTTACCTGCATTATGAACAATAGCGAGTAAAGGTGAGTAATTACTGCATATCACTAATTACCTTCATGTTGCATACTTGAACAGTAGAGAATGGTATCTAAATGAAGAAAGTTAATATATCATTTCAGATAGACTAGAAAAGGTTCAAAAGTTTATGGCTATCAATTCGGACAAGAGGAAAAATATGCTTCTTCAGCTGTCATCTTGCTATAAAGTGAAGATATGGTATGAATGTGACTACAAATTTCTGTGTCTTCATCCACAATGGTGAATGTTGAATTATCTTCATCCACAATGGTGAATGTTGAATTATCATCAATGAAGTACTAAAAGCTGGATCTACCGTGACTACAATTATGTATTGTAGGGGCACCATGAGTAATCAAAAGATCAATCTCCTATTAGTCTGGCTATCTTGACCCCTATCTTTGTGATATAATTTCTTTTTTCTTTCTAAATATAGACCATAAGCAACTGCAAATTAGGGAAAAAGAAAGTAGATAAGGGCTCACAACAAATTGGAGTGAAAGCACAATTTTAGCTTCTGTACTCTCCTAATGCAGGATTTCTTTTCCCCACAATTTCCATTTTTTTTGGGTAGAAGTTCTATGCAACTGGTCCTATGCTTTCTAAGAAACAAGATGTATGGGTGATTAAATAAATAAAAAAGAAAAAGTGGTAATCATGAAAATCCCAAAAGCCAACTCCCATGAAGAAATTTAGGGTTTGATCATCATGCTGAACACAGGGATCTTTTTGCACTTCATCTGGGACTGCAAAAACAATCATTTGGATCTGGTGGACCATATAATTCCTATACCAAGAACCTATCCAAAGCACATAATACATAGACAAGATTGACATAAAAGAAATATTGTATACATGCAACTCAACCTGCCCAAATCCTCTTTGTTGTTTTCCCACAAAAATCATAAGCTTTCCAGAAAGAAACGCACGCACACACACGGTACACACAGTGGGGGGGAAAGATAGGCAGGCAGTGAGGGTATAATCATATTCAATTGCTTCCTCACGTCACTGTTTTATTCCTGGGATAGAATCGGCCAAATGAGCTTTCTGAGGTAGAAAGGAAAAGAAACCTTATTCTATATATTAAACATATGGATATACACAGCTCAGGGTAACCGTTATGATTATTCAATTGCCCTTTAGTCAACAATATCCTAACAAACGTTTCTTGGAATCACATGATTTTTTCTAACATAAAATCTTATACTAATCAACTTGAAACGTCACACCGTTTAATAATTAATTATATATACATAAAAATTGCTGTAGTACAGTTATTAATCAATTAATTACTCAAGTAAGGACGTTACAATTTTACTAGCTAATGCTAGCACACTTAGTCATTAATTATCCACCAATTACCTCATTGTTGAAGCTCATAGGATCACCATTTCCATTGCACCCTACAATGGGGGAGATTGGGGTAGCGGTGGGAGCAGTGACAGGGTCAAGACCGTTGTTTGACCAAGTTCGAAGAGGTGGACATGCCGGAACTCCGATGGGTGGGGGATTATTAGCTTGGAGTAGGCGGATTTGTCGCTTCAAGAACTTAACATAGCGAATGGCTTCATCTAACATGGATGCAGTGTCCATTTTTGTTCCCCCAGGGACGAGTCTTTGTAGAATTCGAATTTTTTCACTGATTCTCTCGCGGCGATGCCTTGCTGCAACACTTTGGGGATCATCACTAATGCGCACATTTCGCCTTTTAGGCTTCCGAATGGTTGCTGGATCAATATCCACCGGTTGCATAGCTGCAATCTTGAACATCATTTCTTTCATGGCTCCTAGTTCTTCCTCAGGATCTTCTTCTGCTTGATCTTCTTCCATCTGCTGATGAGGATGATCATGATGATGATGGTCAATCTGACCGCTGCTGAGAATAGCTGAAGTTGATATATGTTGGCTTGACGAAGAAGGGATTTGATGGTTTTCAAAGACATAGTTAGGCCAAAGAGTCTCAAAGAAAATGTGATCATGATGTGCCATATGATTTTCCACAGGCATGGAGGGTTCCCATGCTGTGAGTTTTTGAGGGTTGATATCCATAAATTCAGCTTCAAATTTCTTGATTTAAAAGAAAAGCAGAAAGAAAAAGAAGAACCCTATCTGATGCCTCCTTCAATCCACATGAAGTGTAGAGTTCTGAAAAATGATAAGCACAAAACTTTCAACAAGATGGAGATCAAGAAAGGAAGTGAGAGATGGCTGATGGGAAATTGGAATGGAAACTTGTTTAAAGTTTCTGTACAACTTCTGGAACTTCTTTTTTTCAACTATTCTGCTTCTCATAAGATTTATGAGTGAGGGAGAAAGAGATAAGAAGGGCAAAATGTTAGGTGGGACCACAATGAGTTTAGGGTGATGAAGGGCTAGGATTTCATTCTTTTGTGAAAGTAGTAGTACAACTTTAAGGGTCAAGAAATGCATTTACTGAGAATTGCAGGCTTTGCTTGATGGTAGCTTATTCCTAGAGTTCTCTCTGCCTTTCTGACCATCACGATCCTAGAATTTGGAGGCTGTTTTGTTCCCACGAGATAAGATTTGAAGTAATTAGTCCTTTATTAAACCAATCTAGTCATTAGATCTGCAATGTACAAAACCTTCCAAAGTCATCCATCACATTTTTAATGGCCATTTTATGATCTTTGTCCTCTAGTAATTGATATAACTTATCAGTTACTCACCTCTAATGATTACATATGTATGTGTGTATGTATGTTGTCATCACGAGAAAATTTATGTGAAACAATCAATCTTCGGAATTTAGTTGTCAAACTTAGTTAATCATATGGCAATTTTTTTTAGACAATTTGCAATAGATATGGCTGGCTATTGTCATGATAACAGTTTTAAATCTTTATTTATCTTGGTAGTTTGAAGATTTTGAGAGTCTAGTGATTGTTTGAAGCTATTTTACGGAACCTTGCCATTATTTATTTATGACTTTGCTTACGACCCATTATTTGTTTTGTGCAACCCAATGGGAAATGAACAAGCAACCAATATACTGGAACAGGGAGAGTAGTCGCTCTTAAAACTCTTGATATGCACTTTGTTGAATTGACAGAAAAACAATTTGAAACTAATGGTTTTCTTTTACTAACAGAATTCTTTTGAGGATTTACTTTTTAACCACTTAAAAAGATTAGTCTAGACAAACTAAAGAAAGTTCCACAAAAAGCAGAACCAAATTGAAACAAATTTGTAGACAATTATTTGCTATGAAACCAAATATCATTTTGCAGTTGTTAAAACTTTTCTAGAGGTGTTAGGAAAAGTTAGACTAAGAATATTCACTAAGAAAAATTTGCCTCCATCTACTTAAAGGAAACTAAATTACAGAGTGTTGAGTGATTAGGATAAGCTTTGTTAAACATTACACTAGGCCGCCTTGTTTGTTCAAAATAGGAGAAATTCAATTTGGTTTTGGAAGTAGAAAAAGGCAAAGTATCGTTTTAACAGATTAAAACCTAAGCCGTCAAGTACTCTTTTGGATCATTTCAGACAAGCTCTTGATTTACCTTATTGTTTCAAATTAAGAATTAAGATCTTGACAGTTCAAAGGTTCAAGAAATATGTTTAAAGACACAAGATACTAGCATGAAACTTTAAACTATTAAAAGTGCTATTCAGTTTTCCTTGATTAAGGCTTCTGAAAAATTTCAAACAACCAAAGCTTATATTTTTTGTGCGAGAAGTTAGCAAGGATGGAAAAGACGAGGATTCTCGTGCTATTTGGCATTCAAATTTAAGCAATTTATGTGAATTTTGTGGGGAGTGGAGGGCCAAAAAATGCAAGATCTCCTCAAACTAAAAATCCCAAAAACACCTAAAAATTCGCAAATGCAGTCGATTGACACAAATTGAAATGGAGAAGGTTCATATGCAACAAAAACAAAGTTGAAGGACTAAGACGTAATGTGACGAAACATTTAGGGTTTCTTGTTATTAAAGAGAGGATAGGAAGGTACATTGGGACAAAAAGGAGTTTGCATCACAACCCATGTTCCAAAGTCCTTGAATGCAAAAGCTAGAAAGATCGACATGCAAGATGCTCGAAACGTCACCGTCATTGACGATTAATATTACCTAACAAGGAAACCAGTCTTTCGTTATATGAAGTATGAAGAAGACCGTACCATCTAGTTGGAGACAACCAATCTTTGAAAAAAGAAGAAGATGATCTCATGTTATCAATGGAGCTAGATTTCCCATATCAAAACGCATTTAACTAGATAGCTTGCTACTAATTTATGGTTGAGTTTTTAGGTGTATTAGATGATCTATGCAACTTTAAATATTGCCACTCTTGGGAGAAAGTATTCCAGTCCATATAAGGAGTACGAAAATGATTTTTAGGATGAAATTTTTTGCTTGAAGTAAGGTGTGAAAATGGGAAAAGAAATGCAATACGTTGTAGCACGGTATTAGACTTGAAATCACAAATGTACGTATACGGTGCAACTAGTTGCATTTGATTAGAGATAATGTCGGACAAGCAACTTTCGGAATATGGGGAAAAAAATATGAATATAGATTAGGTCTATGATTTCACTCATTGATGGTAGATTAGGTTAGGATTGTGTTCAAACCAAATGAATTTTGAGCCTGACTGTGAAAGAAACGCGTATGTACTCAAATTTGAGATCGAATATCTTAAGACAAACTTGAGTTTCACTCATAAAATATATGTTAACATCGAGTTTAATTCGTATGAGTTTTATTTTGAATCCATTTTACTTTAGTTTGAATTAATCTGTCACGAATTAGAGTTCAATCATCTCCATTGTGTTCAATAGAACTTGAGTAACACAGATTAATGCCTTATGGTTTTTCAAATATGACATATAATAGGTATGCCACACGCTAAACAACACTAAAATTTCAATCGAACATATTTTTGAGCTTGATTCAATTTATTCAAGCTGCTTGACCTCAAGAATTTGAGCTTTTTTTTTTTTTTTTTTTTTTTTTTGTGAAAGAGAGGTGTTTTGGGGAGGGGGGTGGGGGGTTGGGAGACTTAGAGCTATTGCTACAACTAGGCAACTCGCTAGTTACTCAGTTGAAGTTGATTCTTTGCAGCCTCAAACCAGGACTCCTTAAGTATCATCCAAAAACATATGGCTAGTTAGAGTTGCATGCGAAGTTTCCTTTATTCCTATTGTAGTTTTACTTCTCGTTGCTTACAGCCTTTATGGTTTGTCAGATATATTGAATGGCAAACGCTTGACAGAAAAGTACATCAACTAGAACACTGAAAATGTACCAGATGATAGTACAAGAATTTAAGGTGTTCGTTCATAGTTTTCATCAATTGCCACTTGTAATTTGTTCTTAGCGCATGCTCAGTATAATCATTAGCAATTTTCAGTTGAAAATGATGGGTAATATAAATATGACACAGACAGCTTTCTTGAGTAGTTACATTTAGGAAAATTTAAATTCAAGAATATCATGTAAAAAAGACTCCCACAAATACACTGCCCGAAAGGAGGCAATAGCTTTTTTATCAGTTTCATTAAGATTCCATTCGTTTTTGCTAGTTTGACAGCTACTAAGATGGAATTTTGGTAATTTGTATGTATGAAATCTAAAAATATATATAAAGAAAAATATTGCAAGTGTGTAAGTTTATTAAGATGCTACCCTTCGGTCTTGGATCGCGATGTGGAAGAGGTGCAGTTAAACTTTGATACAATTGTGCACGGTTAGTGTATTACTTTTCATATTAAGTTTACACTTGCATATGCAACTGTCTTTTATATTTAATTGGTGTATATGAGTAAAATTCGAGTGTCTAATAAAGTTGTACAAGTTTCTTTAAATCGTGTAATAAGTACAATCAGTGGTAGAGTAGGACCTATGGACAGGGAAGTAACTACCGATATATAGATTTGTAATAGAGTCAAATCTTTAATATAGATTGTTGTCTAACCTTGTATGGAAATTGCTGCTCTAGAGTTATAATGATCTTCATAGTTGTGCTTAAACTAATAAAGATTGATTTTTTTTTTGTTTTATAGTGAATAGTATTTTACATGAAGAGAGAATTTTAGATATTTGAAGGAGGAGATATACATAATAAGTATATGAACTTTATAAATTTCAAAAGGTCTAACGTATGGAACTTTACAAAATTATTTGCATGAAGGGAGCAAATAGGTGCTTTGTGAACTTTATAAATTTCGTGTAAGGAACTTTACAAAATTACGGGGATGAAGATTGCAAATAGGTACTTTTAAAAAATTGGAGGGGGAGTAGGTGTGCTATCGAATCAAGTCAAATTCGAGTAGTACCATACTCAAACTCGAATTCAATCACTTTTAGTACTACTCGAGCTCGAACTCGATCAAGTATATAAATTTGAGTTCGAACTAACTCAGACATAATAGAAATCAAACTCGAATTCAACTCGTTTGAGATTGAGTAAATTGTAAGTCTTATGAAACTCAAGCTACTGGAGCTCGAGTTCGAGTTTCCAATAGCTCGAGTTTTTCTTTTCTTGTTTTTTACATTTTTTATTTTTCAGATTACCATTTTTTCATCAATCACTTTTTTTTACTGAACATAATTTCATGTAAATTTATTAAAATACGAACCCATAATAGTCATTTCATAATTAAAATGTATAATATGTAAGTAATATAAATATTTGATTAAGCTCATTGAGTACTCAATATTTATTTCTGATACTTGAACTCGACTCGTTACACATAACGAACAGTTTAAGTTCGAGTTTGAACTCGGTCAAACCGAGTTTGAACTCGGTCAAACCAAGTTTGAGCCAAGCTTTTGACCAAGTGGTCACGAGCACCCCTATGGGTTGGGGTGGGGGAGGCAAATAAGGTGTAAAATTAAAAACACTACAAAAATATAAGGCTATTCTATAATTTCTTAGAACATGAGAGAAGGGCAATTGCCCACTCTCAGTACATGTGGCTCCACCATTGAGAACAATAACCAAAATATCCCATAAAAATCAAAACCATACATGTCTCTTTTCCCTTGAATCATTCCCATGAAGCACCTTTGGCACTGATTGAGGAAGAAGGGACCTCAATGTTCCTAAACTGCTGGTTGAGGGCCAATTAGTACATTATTCGACTGATCAGCTACACTAGGATGCAAAGTACTATTATGCACAGAACTTACATGCAAAACAATCTAACCACATCGCATATACAATCTGAACCAACATAAATTTTCAAACTCTGTTTCTAAAATCTATTTGTTTTAGTGTTTATATTATATTCTGTGAAATGTTTTAAGGCTCTTGGTTGCTCGTTGTT